CTGGAATAGTCTACCAGGGTCTATTGTTGAGGCTAAGAGTGCGCTAAAGCGCTTCTTAAATATACATTTAAAATTGTTTGTCAGTGACCTGACTCATATTTTGTAAATAGCTATTTAATATTCTATTTTATAGATTTTCATTGTACATAGTTTATATCTGTTTTATACTTTTATTTAGGGAAACGCCATAGGGTCGACCTCTAGTTTTCCTTTTCAAGATGTGCTTTTTCTTGTATTTTGTTTTCATAATCTTGAATAAAACACATTGTTATACATGTTTAAGTGCCCGCCGAATACAGTACGAGACTAGTACTTATAAGACAAGGCTGAGTTCAGTGTAATTTCATTGACCTGGCATAGGTTTTCCAGCAATTTTGGTAACATTTCTTGACGTCTCTTGATAAACAAGCTTTAAAAGATTGCTTTATAAGATATGGTAAACGATTGCGCGTTGTAGATTCTAAGAATAATTACTTCATTCAGTAAGTGTATTTTAATGATTGCTTCGAATGCAACTTAGGAAAAAATGCACTGTGAGCAAAAAAAATTCTCCATCGGAGGAATGAAAAACCGTCTTCAGTCGACACGTTTGTTGGGTAGACTTTCAAGGGAACTTTTATAAGGAAATCGGAATGAAATTATTTATGAGCGCTTGACGAAACCAGCGTTCAAAGTCTTGACTAGACAAAAAAATAAAGCAAAAACGGCAAAATGATTAAAGTAAATCGGCCTATAATGAACCAACCGCTAATAATTTTCGTAATAAACGGGGTATACAAGATGACCAGTATCAAAATGGTGGCTTAATTATACGCAGTGCGGCCTTAATCATGCAAATATCAAAAGCTTCAAAGTATTGTTTCCATACGTTTGACGCGTTTTTCAACAGGCTGGTACGGGAGAGTTAAGAACTTAAATACAGAGACATTTTTGCCGGTGCAGTTTATGACTGCGCAGGAAAAGCAGATCTTAGAAAGTGCTGCGGGAATCAATATAGAGAATTAGGGGTAACTACGCGTGTACTTGAGGTAATTCTTAAGGAACAATGATTCTAGTATAGAAAGCTTTATCGCACGGAACGAGGTATGGCCTTTTTTTTTTTCCCGAATTGAATCTTAATTAAATGCGCACTGACTTATCCCAAATTTTCTTTGGGGATTCCAGTAGCACTTGCTTAGATGCGCTTTTTCTGCATATTCCTAGTTAACCCTCTCAAAAATACCTTTACTTGGTCTCCAAGAGCCTACCACGCAGGCTAGATTCCTATAGGAACTCGAGTTTC